CCCCAAAACCCCAAAACCCCAAAACCCCAAAACCCCAAATTAGCGGATATAAGTTGACACCAAGGAATAAGAATTTATATATATTATATTAAAACATTTCAAATGAAAGATAGTAAAACTTCATTATCGGCTTTTAGCTTGAATTTTATTTCAGGAACTATTGCAGGAATATGAGGAACAGTTGTAGGACATCCCCTAGATACTATCAAAACAAAAATTCAACTATCTCAAGGAAAATATGGAGGCATACAGACCTTTAACAACATTGTTGTCAGAGAAGTGAAAGGAAGCTATTCAAAAGCGTTTTTAAAACTTTTTAATGGAATAACTTATCCTATAATAGGAAATGCTCCTATTGTTGCTACCATATTCTCTGTGAATACCTTGTGAAATAATTTATTTCAAGGATCTGACATCCCTCAAACTTGATCAATATTTATCAGTGGATTCATTGCAGGAGCATCCATTTCAATATTTCTGACACCAACTGAACTATTAAAGATCAGAAAGCAAGCGATGAAGCTTAAATAAGATTACATATCCTCAAATTATCAAGCAGCAGTATAAGAGCTTGGGCATAAAAGGGTTATATCAAGGATATTGAATAACTCTCATCAAATGTACCTTTCCTTATGGAATATTCTTTGTGACAAATTACAAGTTGAGGGAAATATTCAATCTTGATCTGGATCAAAATACCTCATTCCTTTTACTTGTCAAAAAGGTTTTCGCAGCAGGGATTGGAGGTCAATGCCATTGGCTATGTGCATATCCCTTGGATGTTATTAAAAGTAATATTCAAAATAGTCGAAACAACCTCAGAATAATACATACAGCGAGGAGACTTTACATGAGACATGGACTGTTACATTTTTATAAAGGAATAAGTGTGGTTTTGTTAAGGACGTTTCCATTCACTGCAATAAACCTTTTGGTTTACGAATCTATATCCTCGAAGCTCACCAAATTGGCTTTTCAATAAGAGTAACTTCAAAAATTACACTGTCTTAAAACTTGATAGCAAATACTTGTTGGCCTAAGTTCATTTTAAAAGGGATTGGGTCAATGACCGGAGTGGTATAAAATATACAAATTCAATTCTAAAGATTTCTATTGGGGTTTTGGGGTTTTGGGGTTTTGGGG